CGTGGGGCAAGAAAGGCATGCTGCTTTTTGGCAAAAATTGGCACACTGAGATGTCTGTGTGAGCAGGTGCATTGTCATAGTGGTAACAGTTCCCCATCTGCCACCAACCAGGCCTTTTTTGTTGCACTGCTAAGCAATCTTTTCAGAACCTTAAATAAAAAGCTTGATTAACAGTCTGGCCTTGTGGAACAAACTCCAAATACACTAGGAGTCAACATTTTCCTCCATTCAGGAAGTTAGACCTCCAGAACAGGTTTGTTATCAATCCATAGTTCACCTTTCTTGAAATGAAAAAAAATACTCCGACACTTGAGTTATTCCCATAGCTCTGTCCTTGTAAGCTGTGTTCAACATCACAACAATTTCTGCGGCATTAATCCCGAGCAGGAAACAAAATTTTACAGCCACATTCTGTTCTCTTTAATCACACACCAAAAAAAAAAAGAAGTTCGAGGGAACTGCTTTTACAAAAAAATTGACTGTGACCAGAACCTTCCCAGGTGATGCCACTGGATACACTAATTCAGAGTAAGTTGCTTGATGCTTGCTTAGGGGGGGGAATGTGTACTACACAAGCTCCATCTAGCAGAGCTGTTTTTCTGTTTTTTTTGTGGGGGGCAGGGGGTACCCACTCATATGTGTAATAGAGAGCTTATAAGAAGAAATAATTATATATCAAGCAAAACATCCCAGCCCAATCCAGATCAAGTTCATAAGTCCCTCTTCAAACTCACATAGCCACATGCAAAATGCAGGAAGATTGAAGGCTGGTGGGTACAAAGTTGTGTGATCCAATGGCAGTGGCCACATCACAGAGCTCTGGCAGATCTCAGGGTGCCCCACCAGCAGGAAGGTGAAGGGAGAGAGAGGGGCCAGCCTCCAGAGAGTCATTTATCTTGGTTGCACCTCCAAAGGAGATCATCAAGCTGCGACCTGATTGACAGGCTAAAATCCACCCATACCTTCTTACAGGTACCATGTGGCACAAAAAAATCTAATTATCACACCTTCTCACTCCTTCCTCAATGGAATCTCTTTTTTTTTTTTTCCAATGGAAGCTCTTAGTTTCCATGACATTTCTCTAGTTTTCTTCTTATTTCAAGCTACTTCTTATTTCAAGCTGTGTATTCTTTCTGAACTTGATTCTTAGTTTTGCTTTTCCCCAGAGTTTGATATGTCTGTTGTGTGGTCCCTATTTTAGCCTAGATCATGAGCCTTGGTTTAAACTAGGTATATGAGGGGTACCAGAAAAAGAAAAAACCCAGAATTGCGCTGGGCAATATAGCCCTATTTTCCTAGCCAAGCAGACTTAAACATGTACTTGTTAACACAATAATGCATATGATCACTTGACTTATGCGTTAAGTCATAAGTGAACTATGAATTATTATTTCAAATTATTATAGTAAAGAGCATAGAACAAAAAACCAAAGAGATTCAGTTTCTGTTACTACAACTACAGAGAAGAACAAATAGAAATGTACAAACCTTTTGGAGATATGGCCATATTGACATTATCACAATAGAAAATCCTATAAAGAGGAAAAATTTGATATTTAGAGATAAAATAATCTCATCAGTATTACACATATACAATTATTTGAAGTGTAATATAAATTTGAAAATATTATTCTAAACCAACAAATTTAAGCATACAAATGTCTAATTTTTCAAGCACTGGGATTTTATTTATCAGAAGAAAAACAATTATTAAAGGCTTGAAATTAGCATATAAACAGAAGACCTATGTTTTTACTCACATGCCTCTGCTGTAAATGACAATTATTGATAGTCTTATACAGTGAACAATAACATTAGGGAGGTATGCACTCCCTTAGAATAATCAAGCACCCAAGATCAAAAGGGTAGCCCCTGCCCAGGAATATGGCTCAGTAAGGACGAAGGACTAGGAAAGGAAGAATCAGAAATGGAAACGGTAAACACAGAGAGGAAATGGGAAGAGTGCTGGTACATTGTGGAGAGTTCAGTTATCTGCGCAAAGTAAAATCTGTATGAATTGTTGAATGAAAAACCAACTTGCTCTGTAAACTTTCACCCAAATCACAGTGGGGGGGGGAGCGCCTATAGACTTAAGGGGGCCTAAACATAGGAAAAAGATTACCTAAAATATTGCTAAAAAAAACACATAGTAACAATCTTTCATATTTTCATTTCGTATTCATTCAGACATGCTAATAATACAGATATTAATATTTTGAAAGTTTTTCCTC